GATTTTTATTTTAAAATATTTAGCATTCGGTAGCACAGAAAGAAATTGCAAAATAAAATATAGAGCAGAAGAGAATGACAACTCGTGAAAGTATGCATCTTTTTAGTTCTATAGTGAAAGTACCTATTTTGTAAGTGCAAGAATTAAAAAAATTTTCTAAAACAATTGATGTACATTCAAAATTTACATACATATAATTAATCATATACGTATACATAAATTAATCATTGAATAATTAGTAAATAATTTTTAACGGCAATTAAACAGACATGGCTCGGGAAAATATGTAATCAATAACCACTAATCATAATTGAATATGAAACCAAAATATATATTAATAGAGAAAATATATTTGATTAACAAATTTAACATAATTTTGGTATGTACAATTTATTTGTATATGTTAATAACTTAATATATCATCGTAATAGCCGTTAAAAAAACTGTTTAAATTCCACTTGTGAACACATTTCATTTATTATGTAGCGAATGTATTGCATTTAATTTAAAATATAGATTTATTGACTCTTTTCTTCCTCAATTTTTCCTGTTTTTAAAAAATCAATCAATGAAGAAAAGTAATATTATATTCACAAATTATCACAATTTTACAGCACATTAATCTTTTTTCTCTTTTACGACAATAGCCGATATTTTTGTTCTAGCAATCAAGATTTAAATCTTTCATTCTTGTAAATAAATGAAAGACATTTTGAATAAATTTGTTTTTGATATTTTGTTCATTACTTTCAAAATCTAAAATATACGCTAATTTTCGTTTTTATTAAAAAATGGCTTCTATTAAATAATAATTATTTCAACAATGAAAATTTCATTTATATTTTTGATTAAAAAAGGCAATTGTTCGGATAAGGTCGATCGCTTTTTTATATGTTCTTATGCAATATGCCTATTTTGAACATTTGTTTGAAAATATCACGCTCCCTTTCATATTTCATCATTCTCTGAGCTATATAACGGTATATAGCTATCATTCTGTTTTGTTCACAAGAGGATAGACGGTGTACAAAACGTTGCTGGTGACACACGCGATCGCAGTTTGCCCACTTTGTCTCTTTTCCTAGTCTCAATATACTGTTTTTTTTTGTGTCTTCAAACAAACCGAGTTTTACGTCGCGTGTATAATTTAGGAACTTAAGAATACTGTCACTTCTTGTCGATATACTTTAATCTTCGCCATCTTGTCGCTGTACGTCTCTTTGTGGTCATGAAAAAGTATTGCTAACGTTCTTTAAGAATTGACTCGTTTTACACGCATTATTATTCCTCTTTTTCCTTGCGTGCACGTTCATCAAAAGAAACAAAATGGCTGCCATTTCACGTGACGCACTTTCCAATTTAATAAAATTATTTCTCTTTTTCTCTCTCTTTTTTCTGTTTACCCTGTTGTTTAATGCAATAATAATAACAGCACGCATATAATAATCGCGTATATAATCGTCGTTTATATAATTATAATTCATCGATCGACGCTCTTTATTGTGAATTTAATTATAGTAATGATAATATATAATAAGGAACCATTTTTATTCTGCGATATCAACGAAACGCGAATGTCCCAGTCGTATAAATTACGCGCATAATTTATTAAGGGGCGATGTGGCCCTTGTCACCAGAAAGAAGAGAGGAATTTCTCGTAAATTCTTTACCAATTTGATGAGACCTTTCACACATTATGTATTTTTAACGCACTGCCATTGTACTACAATAACGGCTGCATAAGACCTCTTTTATACGTGCAATTTTTGTTTTAAACATAAAAAAAAACATTTAATACGTTTACAGATGATGTGTGGAAGGATTTATTTTCTATCTAGTTCATTCTTAAAATCCCGTAACATATTTTATCGGTTGCGTTACGAAATTAGATTTTTTATTATCGTTTATATATTACAAAAAATGCACGCATAATAAAAATTCAAGTAGTTGTATCAACGTCGATTATCATTAATTAAGATTAACATGAAATTTGCTTTTCTTATCTATATTATGTAGCTAGAAATTTAATTTAGAAGATGATATTAAACCGATAACTTAGAGTTAATTGAACGAGACCGTTGATGCAACTTGCAATTAGCCTATGGATGTTAGTAATTAACTCGATGATGATAGCCATCCATTGAAATGGACCTTCTCGTCCGGTTATTTAAAGAAATAACACTACATGTCGATCACTCTTAATCGTCCGGGAAGCTTTCATGACTTGAATAATCGTTTCTATTCTCACACTAATTGAAATTCCTCTCATCTTTCCGCGCAATATCATAAGGTCACGACAAAGTTAACCTAAATTTCAATTACCAATAGTTGATTAGAATCTATCCAATCTTCACTCATTCACCCATCAATTAGATCGCGTTATACAATATAAGTTAAGTGATATATTATTTGAAAGAAAGAGGAGTGATCACAAATCACAAGTTAGAACACGGGAAAGCGACTTCAGAATGCAACATTTAGACTGAAGCGTCGTTTTACTTGTTTTCTGCATTATATTAATTGTATAACGAAGTCCAATTAAGGCTTGGATCTAAAAAAGAGTCTACCTCTCGTTTACGTCGAGTGGACCTTGGGCCTCTCCTAATTCCGAAATATTACTGGAAGCGCGATGGGACGCAACATCCGATGTCCAGCCATATTTGCGATATATAGATTATAATATAATATTCACTCTCACGTTTATGTCTTTCCTCGCTAGCCCATTTTAGTCCCTATATCTAATCGCAGCCGTAATTAACGGCTGCGTATTTTAATCCTAAAGGGTAACTCTTTCGCACTCTCATGCACGCTCATATCGTCTTTCTCCCTATTCCTTTCGCGCTCGATTTTTCTCTCATATAATTTTAGGTTTTTGTTTCTCTTTTCTTTCTTTCTTTCTTCTTCGACCGTCCTCCCGTTAAGTTAGCGTTTAAAGCGCATTGTCGACCGATGCTTCGTATATCACGGACGAAGATTACGCGACATTTTTCTATGTATATATTTTATATACTACCTTCTCTCAACTCTCGATCCTTTACCGATCGTTTGATCTCCCGCTGTGTGAATCTTAAGTTTGCACCTATACGTTGGTTATCACCGACGCTGGTTAACTAAATTTTCTTTGCTTGTCTCTCTGTGCATGTGTTGTAAGTGGAACTATAATCTAATGAAGAACCATGAATCGCTAGACTCACACGCCAATCAGAGCTAATTAAGCCAGACTATCGGTGTAACTCAGCCTTAGACGATTAGACGCCGGGGATGTAGGGGGGGGTGTGTCACATAGCTTATTTTGTGTGTACGCGTATGCGTGAGTGTTAGTGTGACGTGTATCGCGGTTATTTGCCGCTGAAAAAAAACTCGTATCTTCTTTCTCTTTGATCGCATTGGCTCGTCTATAGGGTCATGCATATACGGCATTATTTTAAATTAATTATATATGGTAATTTGCGTATGATACGCGTAATATACGTGTGTGTGTGTATATATATATATATGTATATAACGAGGGTTACTGCACGTAATCGGTTTTAAAGCTATACAGCGGCCGATTAGAGTCATAACAGTCATTGCTCGGCGCCTTCGGAAGCTCCAAATGAAACTTTGAAGTGAACGTTCGGTATTAGTCAGAATTACAGAGTAGCATAAATCAACGCTATTTATATTCTGATTTTTCTTCTATTTTAAAAACAAGAACATTATACTGTCGAGTGACTTATTCGTCGTGATATAGTTTAAATATTTCTAATATAAAAATAATATAACTTTTCAAAAAACTACTTAAATTATTATAAAACATAGTATTTTTTTAAAGTTTCTAGTCATAAATCCACAGCAATCATCAGAAAACACGATCGCATTTCGGCATTAAATAGCACGCATGACCTGTACGGCGAATTGCAAACATCCGAGATTATCGGATCTCAATAACAATTGAACTAGTCAAATTTTGAATAGACTCAATAAATAACTAGAGTTTGAATTATATTTCTATAAACGCGTGCATTTAAACAGTTACATTTATCTATCTTGGGATATAAATTTCGCGGCGATTTCATCGGCAAAATGCAGCTATATAGAGAACGTCCGCTACTCTGTGATTCTAACAATATCATCCACTTATTGTTCCTTCTTTCTAGAAGTCTTCCAATATTGCGCATCTCATCGTTTACCTCGTCGGCCCGAAATTCGACGGCAGCTCTCGCGCGTGTCTCTCTTCCATCATCCCACAAATAATGCTAACAGCGTGACATCAAGTATGTAACACGCCTATGTAACTCCCTCGCTCGCTCGCCGCTACATCTTTCTGCATTATTTCGTTGCGCACCCGGGAAAGCAGTACTGCGACAGGACAGGAGAGAAGCACCGTTCCGCCATTTAGCCAGCGAAAAGGCACGTTGGGAGAGAAGAAGGAGCTCGAATCTGCATGTACAGACGTAGAGAAAGGGCAGCAAAAAGGATCGCTTGATTTATCCACTCTACTTTTTCATCAGCTTTCATCCCTCTTCTCCTTTTCTCTCTTCTCCGCGTCATCGTACCTCTCTCGGCCGCCATTAAACTCTTCAACCCTTCCAGTGCATACGATTAAAACTTGAAAGCCCAGAAACAAAGTCTTTCCCAGGTGTGAACGCGCGTATGTGTCTATCATTATATAATGTACGTGGGCACGCGTGGTGCTCGGCGTTCATTAATAATTGCAATCGCCAGTAATCATATGTAATAATTAATAATTATTATTAATATTCGTGAGAATTGGTATCTCTTCTGTTTCTTTAACTGCCTTAAATACTAAAGGTCATACGTTACCGTCTATAATAATTATCAATTATTTATATATTTATATATATATATATATATGTGTGTATATATATATATTTATATCTTTATATATATATATATACTATTTATATATATTCTAGACTTAACCGCTTAAATATTTAGCAATTAATAATATTAATTTAATTTATTATTATTATATTATTATTTCTTTTATTAATGTCGGAGAACGGGCTGGCGTCAATACGCAGTTTCGGCCATAACTAGCCTATTGCAGCGCGCGTTGTTATCTCTTCCTTCCTATTTCTGTCTCCCTGTCGCTTTTCTCGTCTTTTTCCTCTGGCCTACTCTGGACGTCTTCCCCGTCGCGCGCCAGTTTTTTCCCTTACTCATCAGAATTAATTTTCTTCTCTCTATCTATAGTTGCATCCAACTGGATTCGACTAATGCTCTAAATTCTTTCTTAATGCATTATTACATATTCGCGTAATATTACATCCGGTTATTTACAATCCGGATTTCGAAGTTGCATCGATTGGATCTTACTTGATAGTTGCCTTCTGTTTGACATTATCCATTTTTCAATATATTGCAACTTTTGATCATTATTTATATCTTTGTATCTATACAGTAGGCGTGTATGCGTTATTTTTTTCGTCCAGAGATCGTCCACTGTTTAGCTGCCTCAAATCGTCCGTGTTGCTTATTATATCAGGCGACCGTGCTGCGTTCTGCCGTCTCGTCCATCCTGATGAAAAAGAATTAAAAGTTCAACAAGTTAAAATTTATCTTCTGAAAAAACCGGCCAGTTTTGATTCTAAATGGATTCATATACAGCCGCGACGTAAGGTAAAGAGATACCTAAAATTTCTTTTTAAAGACACATTTGAATCTTGTGAGTGTCTTTTAGATGTGTAAAAATTAAGAATTGCCTTCTTCTATACGAATCGTTAAAAAAATAGGGTTTGCTTTATTGTTTACTATTGTTTTCGATGCTATTGTTAAAGACAATATGTTAATCAAATAGAATTGTTTATCATCAATATCAAAGGTTTATAAGACGAAAGGATAAAACTGAACTATTTAGCATGTGTTGTATAAACAGTAATGTTAATAAACGTTCTTAATAAATTTACCACGGTATAAAACCTAAATACAACTCGACGAAATATTGTCGATGGTACACATACCTGTTATTAGGTCTTAACAAGGCTCAATGGTAGCCATTAGTGAACGCCGCTGGTATTAGAGGACCCTGGAACAATACAATATATCGGTCTCATCAACCTTCCTATAAAAATAATGATTATTACACAAGGGTGAGCATGAAGATAAACCTTTACGTTTGCCTGCATATCTAAAATTGCAGCGTGCAATTGCGGTACTTGGCCTTTGAGGTTGTAAAATCTTTTCTTTTTGTTATATATTTTTCAAAATTTCATAATATAAAGATAATAATAAGTGACAAAAATGCAAAGAATAATACGCGAAGTGATGTTACATGGGAAGAGTCTTGGGTATTAAATATATTGATATTGCAAAGAATGAATAGATTAGATAAATAATATTAAATTTATTTTCGATACAAGCCAATGTAATAATTGTCATACTATACCTGACGGACCAGAGATGTATTCAGAAAATATAGAATCAGAATATAGAATGTATAAAGCGTATATAATATATACATAGAAGCAATTCTTTTTGTGAGATTGATAACCGGTTGCATTAAATATAATGTGTGTTCGCAAGAAGATATTGAATCTCCACATTTGCTTGTTATAAATGCATAAAGCTGATAAAATTGCAATATGGAACGAAACGATAAAGAGCTTGGTCGGTGATTTTGCAATATTTTATTACATTAGCGTAAAATTTATTTCAAATTTTTGCCTGCGATATAAATGTCAAAGAAAAAAATCTGAATGTACAATCTTTCATGAAATTTACTTGGATAATTTATTTGTTTTATCAGTCGCAAATATTTGTTAGAGAAATCGGGAACATATTTGCATTTATTATAATTAAAATATGATGTAACTTTCTTTAATTAGCTTTTTCTTCATAATTGTTTCGAACCGTTATTTTCTCTGATATCTTCCAGTTTTACTTCGTATCTGTCAACTATATAAAATTAAATTTTATTTAGTTGATAAAATTTAATTAATGAAATTTATAGAAAAGTCATAGAAATTTATTTCTTTGGAGAATTGATATTATTATTGTTTTTAATTAATGAAACTTGTAGGGAGAACAGTAGTTCACTTCCTGTGGGTGCAATAAGATCGCGCTAGGCGCGGCAGTTTGTGACATCAGCGATAGAACAAATTAACTGACTAAAATCCTGTACGATTGCTGCTCATAAAATGCTCATAAAATATCAGACTCTCGATTACACTTTTTATCCTTTCGTTCCATCTATTTATCGGGAGGGGCCCGATCCGGTGAACAAAGGGGGAGCATTAAGTGGACTTACGGGACTGTAGTTGAGCGGGGCACGGGATACGGCGATCGCGGGGAACGCGGTCGTAGGGGGCTGCGGGCTAGCTGCGGCCTGGACGTAGCTTGCGACTGCGGAATCCGCGGCTGCGGCTGCTGCTGCGGCGGCGGCGCTCGAGCTGTACATGTCAATCGGGCCCGGTGAATTGGCCGCCGGGAAAGACCGGCCCTGCGGCCCACCGTGGCCGCCGGCCGCGTGCGGCGACGCCGGCGGGAACCCGGCCTGCGCTGCGGCCGCCTGGTAGTTGTTCATCACTGCAACGAACCCGCGTCAATGTTCACCCTCTTATCCCGATCGAACGGACGTCGTTGAGACGAGAACAAGCCTCGCTGAAGCTCATCCTCGCCTACCGCGAGTCACGCGAAGACACTTGTAAATTTGCTTCCGAATTTAGACTTTGTTAAGAAAAATGCCAATAACAATAATAATTTTTTTTTTCTTTAAAATATTCCCTCAATTATTCTGGTACAGTTTATGGATAATATAATCGCTGTAATTTCATCATGTTTGTAACAACATTATTATTTGATATTAGTGTCGGTTTTTATTTATTATCATTCATAAAGAGATATCATTTTTCTTAGAAAATTAATGTATAAAGGTTCAGTTTTGACTGTGTTAGAATAGTTGAAGATCTAAAAAGATGCCATCTTTTTATCTAACCGTTAAATAACTGTTAAATGACCATTAAACCACCTTTAATTTTCAATCCTGTAATTGTAGCGTACACTATTTAACAACAGTTAAACATCTGAGTGACAATTATGGGACGTGTATATTCTGATTGTTTCATTCTACCCGCGATAGCGATACGAGCGTTGCATGCCTTATCCTTTTTAGGAATCTTCCATGCAAGGTACCTTGAGGCACGTTGCTCCGTTGGCGTTTGCCCCTAGTTTTTAGTTTTTTCGTCGCTTTCCGCTTACTAATATCAAACTCATTTCAGTTGTATAATGATACGCTCTAGCAGGTTAAATCTCATTAGAGATAAGGTTCTTTAACTTATATATATATATATATATATATATATATATAATACTATAGTGTGATGTTCGTTGTAACGAGCTCACGCATATTCGTGCACAAATGAACGACGACAATCTCTGGTCTACATTTTACCTCGAGGATTGTGCATGTTAAATGATCGCGCGTTTAAATGATCACGTAAATGCCGTTATATCGATGAGTACGTATCACGTTTACATACACTGAATACAAGGGAAAGGATAAAGTTCGGATTTAACGAATATACACATCTTCTCGTAATTTCATTGGAAAAGAAAAAGGAAGGAATAAAAGAAGACACTCATGAAGCGCATTGCAAGGCAGCCTTTATATACGATCATAGAGATAATAAGAAAGCGCCTTGCACATATATATATGTATGACATTGTACAACACGTCAGTGGGACAAGCAACGCAATCGCACGAGGCAGTGATAGCGATCGACTTTGAAAAGTTACGAGATACAACACAGCTTTCAACTACGATTACTATTCTAATGTTTGGTTTGCACGAGGGTTGATTTTTCTTCGTGCTCTTGAGAAGTCAAACGCAAAAATTGACAAGGTTTGTTCGAAAAAAAAAAGACAACGGAAACTAAACTTACCCCATTTCGCGTTTAACTCTCAAAGTAAAGACTCCGCGTGAGATTATAATGAAGGAACACTATATGATGCGGATAATTACAAAATTTGATGCATTGGGAGATAAATCAAAAATTAAATTGTACCAATACTTTTTTTTTAAAACACGTGCGTTTTTTTTATTAATATTGAATAAATTTGTATATAAATTTGAGAATTACTAATCAAAATAATAAATTCTATTTTATTCCTTGTGTTGATTATATAGTGAAAATAAGGAAATTCAAAAATAATAATTTCGTTCTCCCTTTTGCATCAAATCCACCAATTGTTGGCAAGAGAAAATAACCTACTAATTATTGAAAATAATATTAATGTAATAAATTAATAAATAATATATAAATCAAAAGCTTTTTCTCAAATAATTACACATTAAATAATGTTCTTTCTAATATAAATCTTTCGGATATTTCTAATTGTTTACTATGCTTTTTATCTACTTTTGCAATTGAAATATTTTGTGCTCACAGTAAAATGTCATGAGAAATATACGTTACTTCTGCAAGCTTTTTCTGCACGTTAACGAATGATATTTGATACATAATGCACAGCAAGGATTAAGTACTAATGCGATTACTATGTTTATAGAATGTTCGAAACTCTCTTTCTAAACCCTGCCAACAACTGCCCTTCATTCCCATACATACAAAAGTAACAACGAGCGAAATCATAGCGAAACTACTCTACGCTACTTTCGAAGCTGCATCACACACAGGAAAACAGTGTCTCGGCGTGTCGTCCGCATTCTGAAACTTTAGCACTCGTAAAAACTCTGACAGATAGCCAATAAGAAGCGGCGGAGATTAATGCATCTGACTCGAGCAATTCCGTATATCGCGCTCACGTTGTTCGCGCGCAAGAGCTCGCGTAAATGTCATACGGTACGTACTTTCGGATTAACGGTGGTCACGAAAGCGGAGGTGGAAAAAGACGACGGGAAACAAGGAGGAGGAGGAAGAAGAAGAAGAAGAAGAAGAAGAGAAAGAAACAGCAGAGAAGAGAGGGATCGTAAGCGGGCGGTACGCGAAGAATTTGAAACTCTCTCGAGACAGGCGAGGAAAAGAGAGACCGATGGTGGTGACGGGACCACCACGGGAAACCGAAAACGCGCTCCGGCGTATAATCTAAAAACCCATTCAGCTTTTAAACTCTTGACAATAGCGGCCGGTTACAAAGTTTTGTGCTGGTACTATAGCGAGAAGAAGGCGCGTATAAGGATCGTCGGAGTCGGAGGAAGAACGCGAGCGTGATTCAAAAGTTTGATTTATTTGAGAGGAGATTGCGGACGGCACGCGGGGGTAGATCGGGGGCAGGTTCTAGATGGGGAGTACGACAAAAAAAAAGAACAGAGGCGTATTTCGCTGTCGGCATTCCGGCGCCTTCGCATGTGTGGCACTTCTCTTCGGGAATGCCTGCATGCCTCTGATCGCTTCTTTCTCTTCCGTTCTCCCATACGTCTCTCTGGGATTCGATAGGAAATGATGATCGCGTGATAACAGAAAGATGGAAAATAATGAGACACGGTATCCGTTTAGGATTCAATAATACTTCCTTTAGGAAATGACGTCATTTTATATAGCGAGATAAAGGAAGGTGTATAAAGAAACAGGAAGTTTTCGCTAAACTGAGAAATTATTCGTCTCTGCTTTTATTATCTGGCAGAATAAGCGATAAGATCTCACTTACTTTATTGATATTCCGAGAATAACATCACGAATGACGTTATTGACTTCCCACGACAGTTTCCTTTGGTTGTGTCAGGACTTATATATAAATATATATACATATAATATATGCGGTAGTTACTAATAAAATATTTCTATGTATATAATAGTCATGCACAGTAGGTAATGATATCAATCATGCACGGTAGCCATGCTTTCAGTTGCTCGCGTACACGAATCGTAATCGTCTTCTGAAATTACAGACATTAACCGAACGAAATCTTTCTCTGACTGTTACTAAATGGAGATTGATTCTTGAGCGAGTTAACATGAAATGGTAAAATTGGAAATCTTAAAGAATAGCGTTTCGCGCAAAATTATCCATTTCAATACTTAGAAATAGAATTCAGCTTGAGAGAATATATCACATTATAAAATATACTGGACGTATTAAAATGAGATGGCAAAAGCAATGATTGATTCGAACGTAATATTGCGTTTAACGTTTTATTCCGCAATATTCCGTTCATGCGAGACCGTGAATATTCTCTCAAAGATATTGCGCACAATCCTTGCAATCTCGCGTGACTAGTTAACGAAAAAGCCATCGTAGCCGAAATTGTTTGCATTTCTGGGCGAATCGATCGCGTCGCGACGAAGCGAGTTGAGAAAGCGCATTACATTCGCAGTCGAGGAGAAGAAAAACTTTTAAAACGTACCAGAAAGTGCTTGTGTAAGTAAGGGCGTGTTGTTGTTTGGGGTGAGTTGTCCATTGGTTAGATCCACTGAAACATAAAACTTAGGTCACAACTGCGCCATACTTGAAACACACGTATGTTGCTATTCATTTTCGTCGACTATCACTCGGCAATAGTCTAAAAGCTAATATATATATATATATATATACACAATATATGTATATATATATATATATATACATATAAAAGGAAAAAAAAAAGAAAAGAATAGAACAGAGAAATGATGACGCGCCAGATGGA